TCAAACTTTAAGCTAAAGATGGAAACTTTATAAAGATAAGAACTTAGAACATCACAGCATCAATGATCTAAGGATCGATTCAAGCTACAACGTAAAAGGAAAGCTTTCGAAGCGTAAAAAGGAAAGAAAATCATACTTTAGGTTTTCTTTGGGGTTAAGAACATATTTATACCCCCTTAAAACAGTACCCGGGTCGCTCTGAGACAAAAGCGGATCGTCCAGCTCAGGTCAACGGTCGACCCCAAAAAAGTCAACAAAATGCATAAAATATCGGTCACTCCATATCAGAGAAGTGACCGATTTTGGGTGCCCATCTAGCTCGTCCAGTAGTTCTCGTGTCGCGACACCAGCCCCTCGATGGGTGCAGTATATCTGTCTTCCTCATCGGTGGGTACCGATATCAGGGTACCGATTTGTACATATTTCTCTTCTTTTACCATTCTTCAGCAGGTTTGATGCGTCTGGTCAAACTTGGAGAGTCTTGATGCTCCATCATAACAAGGGGATAACCTGGGATATTTGTGCACTGATTTAGGGCACTAACATCCTGATTCTCACCCAAGTTACTAACTTCAGTGGGTTTGTTGAGACTTCATCCTTTGACTATTCCAGGTGCTTCTCACCAATGATTCTTGATGATTCATGACTGATTTCTGCAGCCTCTGCTCCTGTTTGCTCCTAAACCTTGCAAATCCTCTGCGAATCCATTCCTCTGCACTCCACTCCGATCCTGTAGGCTCTAGTAAGCCAGATAGCTCTAATTTAGCTCAAGTACCACCTGAAAAATAGTAAAAGAAGAGAAATATGTACAAATCTATCCTAGGGCTCTAAGATGTAAATCTAAACTAAACTAAAACTAAAGGGTGTCTATATGATGCAGAACGGAGGGTAAAGACATGCAAATGTGTACACAGATAATACAAATATATAGATATATCATTAACAAAACCAACACTAACATAACAATAAAGAGAAACGAAGTAGGCATAAACCCAAATTAAAATCCAAACAAAAATAACATCAAACCACAAGAAAACCCACAAGAAGATGTGCACAAAAACACAAAAACAAAAGCTTCAATCACCAGAGCAAAGGTTATTCTCAAAAGTTCTAAGTTCTAACATTTATTTATTCTCAAGTAAGGATTAAAGTTCCTATCTTTTAAAGAAACTTAGAATAAAGACCCTAGTATAGAACTCAGTTCCACAGAGAATACATCAAATATTTCTCAACCTCGTAAAAATTATTTTAGAGTTGTAAGCATCAAAAAGTACATATGCTTTTTTAGTCCAAGTATCAAGAAGATTTCTTTAAAAATGGAATAAGATTGTTGTTATCACCAACTTCTCATCATAGCCAGAAGATAATGATACTATTACTCTGTGAATCAAGGTTACACAACTGAAGCATTTGTCAAATCATTGATGAACTGAAATCTAAATCATTACAAAAGTAATATCATTTGTCAAACCTTCTAAGAATTGGCGCATGCTTTTGTTTCACAATATTCTTTTCATCACACACCTACTAGTAGATGACTTGTATTTCTGCGGTTGATGAAATCTTGTTAGGGGATCTCGGGAATTACGAGATCGAGTTGAAGAGAAAATGAATATTTTTGTATATTTTCGTATGTTAAATAGACATATTTTCTACTACCAAATATGTAAAGAACTTGTTAACCAAGTTATTATTTATTATCTTTGTATAAATAAATTTATTGACTAATGAATAAAATAAAAAGAAACTATTATAGTTTTGAGGTTTCTCCAAATCTATTATGGTATCAGAGAATTAGCAAAATCATATAAAGTTATTGCTTTTGTCGATCCTCGACCGTTTTTCCTATCTTTTTCTTCTT